GTTTTAATGACCTTCTGCCCCTCCATTAATGAAGGGACCCCCTCGGGCACGTAAAAAGTTGCCTAATTCTGTCATTTTCCACCAATGTGTCACTGGCCTTCTCAAACAACTCACATCTTTGTCAGTGAAGCTGAACGCTCCCACATCTCTTCCTTCATGGTGCCCATCTACATTAAGATCCAACATTCTGAGATAAAAGTCAGAATTCTGACTTTTTTCTCAGAATTCTGACTTTTATCTCAGAATGTTGGATCTTAATGTAGATGGTAAAAAGTCAGAATTCTGACTTTTTACCATATTACACTGAAATAAAATTTAAAAATCTGTTAACTTTTTTTTTTTTTCAGTGGCCCTAATCCTCTTCCGTACATTACTGTTTTTCATCACAATGTTTTTTTGTTTTTTTTTATCGCTGCTGCTTACCTTATCAAGGCTGCCCTTTAAAAGCTGAAATTGTCTAGAGAGCTGTTCTTAATGAAATTTCTTTTTGTTTACACTTGTGTATACCAAATAAATCTGTCTAAGTCCATCAAAATGCTGTTTTCACTGAACTGGCATAAACTAGTTTCAAACTGCCATATGCCGGTTAGCAATGGCATAAACCAGTTTCAAACTGGCATATGCTGGTTAACTGGCATATCTTTAAAGAGAATTGGCTTCATTTCAAACATTTTGCAAAAGTGAAATGGAAATTGAAATAAGCAACATGATGTTGTGGAATATTAAGTGTGACATCACTTCAAGTATTTTCAATGTAATAAAAATTATTAATTAGCCTTTGATGTGTCAAATGTATCTATTAGATGAATTTGATATAATAAAATCATGAAGGTCTTGTAGAAGTCAGTTCATTGTCAGTGTAGTGTACATGTTAATATTTTAAAAATAAGAAAAAATAGTGCAATGTTTCCAGCTTATATATGATTTATTTTTGTTTTACATCTTTGATTACATTGCTTTTTCAACATTCAATATACCCAATGCTGACAACATAAAATCAATTTCCATTCAGTGAAGGTAATTAGTGATACTTTAATAAACTCTGAACAAAGACCAATACAATTCGACAAAGTTTTGCTGAAGGCAGCCTTTTAGAGAAAGTAGAGACTGTTTGACTTTTGCATTGATTGCAGTTTTAGGGTTTTAGTGGATCGTTTATTGCCCTGTTTTCTTCAAGAATTTTCCATCCAATCGTAAATTTCCTTAATCCATCAGGAGTTTGTACAGGTAAAGATTTATAGACCTCCAGAAATATACATGCATCATCCAAAACACGAACCTGTAGGATATATTAAATGACCTTAGTTCAAGCACATCTTGATAGTAACTTCACGTTAAGTTATGGTATGCAATAAAAGATGTTTCTTACTGTAATTATGTAATATTTTCCGTCCACTATCTTGTCACAGTATTCAACTGCTCTGAATTCCTTGAAGTGTTTTGAAGTAGCATACTCAATTTCACTCTTCAGCTGTGGAGTAATGAAATGAAACAATACAATAAATTGTTTTGGATTAACTATTTTGCTAAAACTAAAAACTAAAACCTAATTATGAAAAAAAGAAAAACAGAAGAGGGAAATTTCATATGCATTTTTTGTTTATCAATGTTTACCATGGAACACATCCCCTGGATTTCATCCGTTGCAGGTTTTTCTTCTGAGAATCCTCCAAACTTATCCATTCTGATTTTGATTTCTGCTTTCACTACATATAAAGCATCTGCTGATATCTTCCCCAAATGCTTAACATCTCTTCCTTTCTTCAGCATATTTATAAGCCAGGTAAACCGGATACTATGTGGAAGGTGTTTCCTCGACAGATGGGCTGAGCTCTGGGGAAATGCCTCCCAAATTCCTCATGTTCATACTTGCACATACTTGCAATTACTGACTGAATTCCCAGTAAAAACATGTCACCTTTTAAAATATGTTACAGTGTAATTAGGACTTTTAATGTGTTCAACCTAAAAGCTTCTATGGCAAGTAATTCTCTACACCACAGAAGATATTAAGACACACACAGTTTGAAAGAGATTTCCATTTCAATACTGTGGTTCTAAGCCCCCAAAAAGGGTCCCCGATAAACAATACACATAAAACCCAGAGACGCAAAACAAAAAAGTTTTCACTTTTTCTGATTAAATCTGTCCAAAAAGGCAGCCTGATATGATAACATACCCTAACACAAAGCAGGAAAATACAGAAAACAATGAACAAATTCAAAGTTATCTCAAGTAGAATTTTCTCATTAGAGATTTGAAGTGATAACCTCATCTAAGCTCTGCTTTATAAAACAAATTAAAGATAGCTTTACTAGAACTGAAACAGTGTTAAGTTGGATTTGCTGCACTTCATACATCTAAGTTTAAATTCCTTTGGGGCTCATGAAAAACAAATGTATCCCTACTAATTAAATAGATACCAATATCTCTCCTATCTGGGTACCATTAGGGGTAACTATACCACGTTTAAGATCTTAGGTTCTGACAAGAAAGGTTCTGATGGCCTTGGCCTGAATTCAAAAAGAAGCCTGAGACTAAAACTAACTCCTTAAAATATAATTTCACCTCGTTAAGATAAAACTTAGTTATTCAGGGCCTTGAACTTTGGGAGAGCTCCTACAGTGATAATATGTTAATACTGGTCAATAGATAATTTTTTGTCTCCCCCTTTTCTCTGTTTCCTTCACACCAAGGAACCAGTGTTTATATTTTCATGACGTCTATCAACCATCAACAGTCTCTTTTTCATCATACCAGCAGTTTTTGCCGTTATTGTTGCCCCTCCTTCTGTCATAGAAGTTTAAACTTTTTCCTAAGAAATGGGGAGACATTTCACGTCAAGACTGGATTTTCCTTGTCACAGAGAAAAGGTTTGACATGAAGGGTTCCAGTGAAATGGGAGGCCATTTCTTTGTCACTTGCATAAATCTTTGCACAAATCCCCTGCAGGCAGCCACTCCTGTCAGCTAAGAGCAGGGAACAAAAAATGCATTTTACACCTTCTATCAAGATTTGCCAATCTAACACTGGAAAAACATGGTGGGTTCAAAGTTATAAACAAAATTAAAGTTGTTGTGCCATGGGCCATGATCGTGGTTTTGGACATTGGGAACCAATGTCCGTGTTTCATTTTGATCCTTTTTTTTTTTTTCAATTTGTATGGAAACATCTTCTGTCTCATTCAGAAACACAGTTCTTTGTTGGAATAATTAACCTCTCAAAACCTACCTTTTTTAAGCGTTTACAAATAATAACTAGGAATGCATGAAAATTACACTTGTAAAATGTTTACCAATATAGACATGTTAGACATTGTTGGAGAGCTTAGATTCTCCACAATTCAACGACCTAGTTCTTTTATGGACACAGCGAGCACCAAAGCACAGTTAACACAGATATAGCAGCATGTCAAAATGTACCATGACAAAGCAGCCAC